TCCAATGAGGATTAGTTTCAATAAATACGCCCAGGTATTTATTACAGTTTATCCGGGATACTGGTTCGGAACCAATCGATACCGGTTCAGTTGGGAAAGAAGAGCGTGGTAGTGTAAAGAGACATTCGAAACTTTTCGAGGGATTAAGAGATAGGCCCGATGTGGCGGAAAACCGTTGGACATTATCCAAGTTGTCAGAAAATTGTGAAAGACCAGAAGAGTCAGAGATGGCCTGACACAAGACCACATCATCAGCATACTTGAAGAGAGAAGTAGGGGCGCAAGCAGGCAAGTCACCTATATACGTAAAAAATACGTATGGGGAGTATGGGAGTACTCCAGAGCTGTTCAACAACGGTTTGGATTTCTTTCGACCTAACCTGGTACACTGAGTTCTCCCGAAGAAGTAATCGGCAAGCCAAGCTAATAACCGTCTAGAACAACTAAAGGTTTCTAGTTTATGAATAAGAAGGGAACGGGGAATAGAATCAAAAGAAGATGAGGAGTCCAGAAACAGGCAACGGATGGATTTCGCAGAGCCATTCAAGGATTTCGTAATTTTATGTAAAAGAGAGGAAACTGCATCCAGCATGTGTGTTTGGCTTAAAAGCAAACTGAAGAGGGTCATACGGGACATCAATGGATCACTGAATGCGCTTGAGAACAACACGTTCTGCTAGCTTAAGTTCAACAGAGTTTAAAGCAATAAGACGAAAACTTTTGGTTAGAACGTTTGAAGAAATGGATTTGGGAATGGGAACAATTGTTACTGGTTTCCAACTGTCTGTTATAGAGCAGGTTTTTAAGGAATGGTTCAAAAATGATGTGAATATTTCACTGAGAGAATAGGTCCCATGTATCAGAAGGAAAGATGGAAGACCATCGGGACCAACACTGCACGTGGTTTTCACGGTACACAAAAGCTCAAGAGTTTATTCTTTAGAGACGGCCTATACCTGACCGGCATCGTCCAGAACAAATGGTTGATCACATCGCTTGATGGATGGATAAATGCTGCAATAACACTGTTCAAATCCGTTGTACAATCCGACGTTTTGGATTTGATACCTTGCCAAATTCGCTTACTGTTGTTACATAGCAGAAGCTGGGAGGCGTACAAAACAGAGAGGCGTTTGATTTCAGCTTTGATCTAGTCAGTGTAATGCTTGACAGCCGATGAATCTCTAGATTTGTACGATCGTTCCTTCTGTCTTCTGAATGATTTCAGCAGTGGAGATGCTAATCTGCCGTTACAAACAAATAGAGTTTCAAAAGGGCAGCATAGGTTAAACGTGTGGTTAAGTGTTTCAGTTAATAATTTGACTGCATTGCGTAAAGAGGGATAGGAAAGAAGAAACGATACTGATGGAACGCTTAAGAAGAAGAATGTTTCTTGGGGAGAGATTGCGAAGACGTGTGGTGATTTGATTGGTTCTTGTGAGTGTATTGTGAATGGGACGGGAGTAGATTGTGGGTCTTATGAGAATCAGTGCATGATCACTAGAGAAAATAGGTGCGGTTAGTTTTAGGGAAGAATGTTCTGGGTGACTAGTAATAACCTTGTCTAAAAATGAATCACCTCTTGTGGGGGACAACCAAATATCAGTTAAGCCAACAGAGGTTATGGGATATGTGGATGCATGATTAAAGTCACCAACAATGATGTGGAGACTATCGTCTATGAGGGGAACGAAAGACGGAATAATCAAAAAGGATTTCAGACTTGCCGCTCCAGGTTGAGTTGATGTACGTGATCACCCCACCTCTTGTTTTCTTCTTACAGTGCTTCCTATCCTTACGGAAGCATTTAAAACCATTGATTCCAATTAGTGAGTCCTCGACATTATGGTCAAGCCAGGATTCTTGGATACAAACAACACACGTGTTACAGTGGGTGCATGAATCAGGGGTGCACGTTAGATCCGTCATCTTTACGAAGAGTGACTGGATGTTCGTGCTGACCAATGAGGGGACAGTCATTTTCGATCGTGATGTGCGACTAAGCGCTGCTTGCCAGCCACCGCGTTTGCGTTTCTTCATTTTAGTAGGAATCCGAAAATGAACTGACGAAGACACGAAAGCCACAGTATTGAGATGATCATGTTTCAAACTCATTAACTGAGACCTCGAATAGACATTCCGAGTGGTCTTTATGTGGTATTCACGAAAACAAAATAATTCCGTGAGGGAGAAAATGTAGCGCCATCGTTTGATTTTTTGAACCACGGTCAATCGCATCCCACTGTCGGGCCATGGTATACTCAACATGTGAACAATCCGCTTTTGTTGGCACAGTTCGGAGTCGTGGATACGAACAGCCACTGCCTCGGCCGTGCAAAGCATAATTTGCCGCAGTTGTTTAGTCAAATTAAACGGGGTTCTGTAGATGACCTTAAATTACCTTGCAACATCTACCGTATGCCTGTGATGATAGAACACTCCACAATTGAACTACGAATGGCCTTTGATAGTCCTTTTCTCAATCAGGCCGGATGATGCTCTTGAATCCGTTTATTCAACTGCCGACTGGTACGACCGATGTAGCTGGCTCCACAGCAGCACGTGAATTGATAGACACATAGAAATGGTTGATAGTGTTAGTCGATCCTTAAGTCTCTGAGCAATGGCCGAATAGAATGAGTAGAATATTTCAGTTCGGTGGTATAAAATGTAGAGTTTAATGCTCTTAAGAGTCGCCTTTCGATGAGTTCACTTATACAGTCGTTGACAAAAGGTAGATTGATAAATAATCGTTTCTTAGGGACGGTGTACAGTTGGCTCTTTTACCCTTTCGTTTTAATGTACTCCTTGATGAACTTGTCTGGGTATCCGTTCTGGCGGAAAGTGCTTTGTAGTTGCTCTTATTCACTTGACAATGTTCCGTCGGAACAAATCATTCTTGCTTGGTGGGCTAGACAACGCGTTAGGTTTCGTTTCTGTTTGATCGGTACTGCACCGTGAAAGTTTATGTATTACCTAATCCCCTTTTGCTTTCTATACACGCTTCTCTCAATGGTTCCATCTTCATTTCGGGAAATCTGCACCTCGAGAAAAGAAATGCATCAATCCCTTCCGGGTTGCAATGTAAAATGAATCGAACGATGTGCTTTGTTGAACATCGACAGAAGTTGCGACATATTTGTTGCCTCATTGCTAATGGCAAAGATACCATCAACGTAGTGACAATAAGTATCCAGTTGAAAGATCTTGTCTTTGAGTTCATGGTTTTCCAACATAGCCATAAAGACGTGTACTAGTAATGGGCCAAGTGGTGAACCCATTGCCACACCATCGACTTGGCGGTGATTGTGTGCATTACATAAGAATTGAATGTTCATTGTGCTACGCAAAAGTAGTTCTTCCAAATCTGATGTCGAAACCGCTGTGTTTATCTGATTTTGCGCTGTGTAATTACAGATATACTCAATCGTTTCAATCAGAGGCACGTTGGTGAAAAGTGAGGAATCGATCAGTGAAAACATGAATTTGTTTTTCACGTTCAGGTTATTGACCATCTCAACGAACTGACCTGTATCACGTAAGCTGAATTTCACTATTTGCTTCTGGATGGGTTCTAGCTTGGAGACGAGCTATTGTGCAGTTGAATGGTACGGAGAACCAGACATCGGAGATGTCGGTCGTAGAGGACAATTCGGCTTATGCACTTTAGGTAGGCCGTATAGACGTGGGATAACTGAGCCTTGGAGTTTTAGACCCTCAAATTCCATCGTTTTGACATGGTTCTCACTCCGCAGTCTCTTCAGCAACGTGGTTAGTTTCTTTTCACTTGAGTTTGTATTACCTTTATCCCGATCTAGTTGTTATATCACTTGACTTATCACAGACTTAAAATACTTAGGAACAATAACAACAATGAAAACGTTTCTAATCGTTCCACTAGATTATGTAAAACTTTTAGAATCCCGTAGAAGAAGTAAATTTTAAGATTTTGAGCTCAAGAAAACAAAAGAGAACTGTGTGCATTGACAATTTTCCTAAAAGCCTTTCCGGATCAGAAAATTACTTCTGTCAAAGTGCCCATAGGGATAGACGGTAATCCGTAGGCACACACAAAGCTGTGATGTAATGGTGGTGAGTTATCAAGTCTACTCTAACTGAAATATTCTCAAACTACCATAACGAGTATGATTTTTTGCACGCACATATTTATGAGTGACATCAGGATTTGACTGAGTGTTCACACATTGGATTACTAATCATAAATGTGACCGAACACGAATAACATAGATACAGAAAATCTGGACCCATAAGAATGCGCATTCTGTCCATATTGGAATTGTTCCACGTTTGGCTTTACCATCCCAACCCGTCATCACAAACCGTTTCTGTATACACTTCTCAGCCGGATCTCAAGCGGGTGACTTGTTCTGAAGCACATCAGAAAAAACGCGTGTAATTATAAGGGAAAATATGTGAACACTACCCTCCCTTCCACAGATTCGGTCAATTATTGGATGAATACCTTGTATTTCTACAATGATAACAATTGTGTATGTCACTCTTTCTGCTTGTAGAGGCGAGGCTGTAATTAAATGAAATGTTATCACTGGATTGTTGATGGATATTCATTTTTCATGTCTTGTTCAGCCAACAATAAATCAGTACTGTTGTATGACCGTTTTGGCTGGGTTTTTTTACTACCTGTACACTTGATCAATGAGGAGAATAGAAGCTAGGATCAGAATAAAAAATAAAAATACCAGAAGCAAGTGAACTAAATCTTCTTCACATTGAGAAAATGATTAGAGCAATTGCATACACGTCTTCAACCTTAGTACACAAGACTTTAAGTCTAGTGAAATCAGTTCAGATTTTGCTGTGTAACTAGTAGGAAAAATAATAAATGCTACGTGTTTATTTTGTCATAAGTAAACTTTGGGGAAAACAGTGATGTACCATGGTTCGTTATGGTGAACATTCTGTAAGTAAAATGACACACTGGCGACGACTATCAAACTTTTTATAACTTTTTGCACTAGAATTATCCAGATATTGGAGTGGAGTCGATAAGGTACAAAATCGAGAAACTGACAAATTTCATTGTTCGCATGAGAAAACGGATTGAGTAAGTGAACGCTATATTTGTATGTTTTAAACCTTCTTCATTAATTTTATCCACATTAGTTTGTTTTACTACTTGACGCAAAAGAAAGAATAACCGTTAGTTCTCACTGTTCTGTTGTCATGGCATAATCATACATAGACTGAGCACCTATTTAGAAGACTTCCACTCATATAGACATTGATCTCGTACTCCATGCTCATCTAATTGCCATGCAACGGCATCCTCAATTTCTCACTTCTTGACAATCACAAGCACAGAAATAAATACTGTTGAGTCACTCGCTTGGTTTATCTAGATAAACTTCATTTTCGTCCAGTATTGTTTGCGTGTGGTCTTAGTTTTCAGTAAAAATGGTTTAGTACTGCAAAGTTCCATTAGGATTAATCATTTAATTTTCAACTCTAATCTATACGAAGTCTTTTGTTGTCCATACGAACTGGAATGTTGGAACTGATTCTGACAACAATTTTTTTCCGACAGATTCCAGGTAGGAATATCGTTTACCGTTCTCGTAGGTCTGGAATGACTATCTGTGAACAGATTTAGGCAATTAGCACTGTATTTGTGTAACTGATAAACAAATATCACATCTGTTAAAACTGTCAATCAGCTTAGTGTTCATTAGGATACCCCAAACTGAATCTTTTGTGCATGTCTCAAGGAGAATTAACACTAAACAGAAGAAAACTTCCAACTGATAGAAAAGTTCACCGATTAATTTGTTGCACTTGTACGTCGGATTTGGAAACAACACAAACTGCGCATTTTTGTTAGTACAACTTCTTTTCTTCCAAACCATTAGCAGGCATTTAGTAAACTGATAATCTGGTGCAATGTACGAATAGAATCACACGTAGTTCCTCTTCTAACAACAACTAACTTATTCGTACATTTTAAAAAAATGCTACCTTTTTGTCAGCCTAAAACTAACTGCGGTACTTTACTTACGCAGAAATGTTTTACTTTATTTAATATGCCCTCAGACTGATCACGTTTGAATAGTTGTTTAGTAAAAGTGCGGTTTAGATATGTAACACTTAATTAAAGCCAACGCAATAAACAATTCGCACCATTTGAAGTTCGTGGTCGGATTGTCAGTTGTGTCTGATCAGACGCATTAGAGTTATAGTTTTGTTTTTATTTGGGGAAAGCAACTGCATGTTTTCCTCAGATTTGTTTTGTTTTTGATACAAGACAAAAGTTTTCTGATTTCTGTAAAACTAGAGTGTTATTTCTAGTGGTGTATATATCATATTGTATGTTATGTGATCATCTATCAGGTTGTCTCTTGGACTACACAGTCTAGGTTCTAATTACCTCTTCTGTTTAGTAAGAATGTTGTGCATTTCCGTGCAACTGTTCTCGTCGGTCCTTGATTAGACGAATTATACTTAATTACTATCAATTCGTATAAATGTAAAACTGATATGTAGATATGTTCCTTTGATGCACAATTTTCGCTAATCCTAAAGCTTGAGCAGTTTAACGATCCCTCGACAGTTCATCTATAATTAGCTAAAAGAGATGATAGTTTTGTTTAATTTTTAATTTTGTCCAACCTGTTGAAATTTGCGTTTTGTTGGAAAACTAACTGGATTGGATTCCTTTGTACTCTCTTTCAAATCATTAAGTTCTCTTTTTTGACAAAATTACTGGGGTTGACACCGAACAGTGTTTTCCCATTGATACTTTTTGTTTTACATGGCGCTTTTCCAAATGTAGACGTGATTATGCTGAACAAGGGACCTGTTCACCCGGAGATGACATGTTCGGTGATGAGGCAATCGGAGCTACTGTAGCTGGACGGCCCACAGGAATGCATCCAGTTGTGGCTTCTAGTTTGAAGAATCTGCGAATTTTGGAATTCAACGCCCAAGGTTAGTTTGGACAACTCTTTTATGTTCTTCCGTACGGGATTACATTTATCTTGTTATGAGGGCATAACTTAGGTCTACTTAAGACGAAGTTATATTTAGTACGTAGCCGTCATGTTGACGTCATTAGGCCACCAACACTTGAAAATCAGTTTACGTGCTTTCATGTAATACATATACCGAAAAGGAATTCCACCTTGAATATATATATATATATATATATATATATATAAGACGCGATTTAATGCAACAAATTCAGGGAATCCATAAAAGCAATCATTGTGGAATATTCCTCGATCCTAAATTTTATACAATACGGCTAACTTTTGAAACTAAGCTGAACATCAGCCGCCTGTTGATGATAATTCGTAGAATGTTTTATTCTACATTTGAGTTGGGAATTTTTCTTGGTAATTATTATTTACCGATTCGGAAATGTCCGTAAATATTGCCTCTTATTACATGTAAACTAATTAATGTATCATGATTATTATGTCTAGAAATGAATTATCTTTTCAAAAGTTGAGCTCAAACCATTTTTAATGAAAATTGATTAGTAGTCTACTTTACCGACCACCGGGATGTGAATAATATTTCTCACCTCAAAACACGTAATAGCTTTCACAGATTGGGTTTTTCCGCTTATGCATAACCATCTCAAAAGTCCAGTAACCAGTGTGCACATAGCAGGCAACAGCAACAACAGCCAGTTAGTTAAAGGAAAAATATAATACTCTCTCTAAAGTTTTGACCTTTTGACCATGCTTCCTCTTCAGAGTACCTGAAATGGGAAGGCTCAGCGAGCAAATGTGTAGCATCAAATTATGAACCTTTGGAAGTGGCCAAAACTCGTCTGAGTTGCTTTCAACATGATGCACTGTGAGAAACCCACCTTAAGAGGTGATATTAGAATAATAATAATCCTGATGGCATCTAGGCTAGAAAAAGAGATAACAAAAGCAAAAGAACCGAGCAATCAATACCTGCCACCGTACACACCAGTGTACATCCGGAATTGGTGGACCACTACAAACTGGTATGTTTTCACTTGTATGACCTGAACTGATTACTGAGAGGCCGTCAGCTGTGCATGCAATCATTTTTGCCTTAGGGGCATCTACAGATTGAAAACAACAGTAGGTGCAATGTACGCAACATTTATTGGTGTTCTGTCACGAGCTTAGTGCAGCCATTTCTAACCAGTTTGAGCCGTTGGGAATGCCCAAACATTTGGGTTTTGATTCGATAGAACATCCACGATGAGGGGGTATTATAACGTCTGAAATGTTATCTTATCACAACGAAACTGCTTAGAGAACAACTATAGAACCATCTGATCACGGATTGACTTCGAACGACTTTTAAAAGCAAAATCGGTTTATCTTCGCGCAGATTGACAATTTGACAAATTCTCGCAAATAAACATAATCTGACCGATTGATCGGTGTCGTATCCATCAGACAAATAGAGGAAGTATAGCCATTCATTGTCTTTTAAATATTTCTTTTCTAAGAGAATGAATTAATTTGGTCTTACCTCTTTAAAGTCTATTATTTCACCAGAAAAAGCGTTTTAAGGGTAAAACAGAAAAACATCGAATGGAGCGTAGCATTGTAAAATGAAAACTTGTTTTAACTAGTCTGTTTATTTACTTTCACCCTTGGAATATACGTAGAAAGAAGTCGCGCTCAGTAGAATCATTTCTGTGTACTCAGTCAGTGACATACGAATAAATAGGTTGGTTTGCTACATTAATAATGGCTTAGTTTTTTCTTACAGCAGGAAAAAGTGGAATTTAGGTGGAATAACTGAACCAATAACCTCAATATGAGCAATAGGCTGTCAATTAGTTGACACTTTTGAGCCGTGTAGTCAGGGTCCATACACTTCGTTTTAGGGGAAGTATTTTAAGTAGGTTCTTACTTTTTTTCGCTCCCTGTTTGTATATTGGATTAAAAGTGATAGACTATCAATGTATTAGCAGGAGTTATTCATCTACCGCACAGCTCAGGATTAGGATTTCAGGGCACATTCCAAATGTGTCCCGTTCAATTCCTATCAGAGAGATGTAAGTAACATACTTAATTGATGAGTTAGAGCAAGGATGAAACTACTTTAGTGCTCACTGTTGAGTTTATCACGACGTAATGTAATAAACAATAAAAATTTAAGTTCACGTCCCTCAGATTCTTGTTTTTCGAACATCATTGTCTAATCCGCATTTCACAAGTCTGTTGGGGCAACCGAACAGATAACTCTGAGGTTAGGCGTAGAATTTTAGGTAATTGTGGTCGCCCAGTGGGGTAATTTTTCGACCTCCATACTTCTCGTTGGCTGGGACACGTGCTACAGGTGTCATCTAATATAATCCTATTGTGCGCAGTGGGTGGACGAATGTTTAGGTTGGCCAAACTAAAACGAGGTATGAAGACATAAAAACCCTCACCAGTTGTCTTGCTCGCGTTAGGCTTTCTACATGGGAGACCTTAGGATCACTGCCACCGATGAGATACACTGAGCGATATGAATGAATGTCATAAATATTGGCGTTTGTGAACCAATGTCCTTCCAATCTTTGTTTTATGGAACTCTCTATTTTCACCTTAAAGTTCCTTTCAACATTCCAATCTTTCTTCTAACTTTCCATTCAAACGGGCAGCAAAACGACAGCAACCAAAACCGCCACACAAAAGTGCATGATTAATGCTTATTTAAACTAAACTGAGCTGATTAGTCTGTGTTAAGTTGGTGAGATAAAAGTGCATAGGTCGTTAAACTGAACTCCAATAATAATGCCATCTTGTTGTGACAGAGACACAGAAACTGGCAAATGATATAGATAAGGGTAATTCTGATAAGGAGTTCAGTATTTTCTTAAACTCGCAATCGTCCTCCGTATTGCTAATATTCATTCTGAAACTTTTCTCCATTTTAGTTATGCTTACTGTGTTTTCAGATTGATTTTATGATACTGTTTTGGTCGCGGTCAACTCTTTCCGGTATATTTCAACGTAGGAATTAATTCGATTGAACACTTGCTAAAATTCAACTGTGCAATTTGGAAGGAACACCAAACCGGCCCGCCAGAATAAAATCATCAGCAGCTAATAATTGTTTATTTTATACATGGCAAACCTTTCTTGGACCAATTAGCAACACTTGAATAAATTAGGTTTAGGCTTATACATGGGTATAAATTCAAAGCACTATGTGATATTTAGCTATGCCAAAACAAGTAAAAGTTCATCGTTTTTCACGCAGCGGTTTTAGTTCAACTAAGACGAAATTCCAGGCGATGACAAGATTACATCAATACAAGCAAATGAACAGCAGCGTGCATCTACGTGTATTGCCTCCGAATACCTATAGGGACTTTCCATGCGGAGAACTGCTTTCTTGATGGATTTATGAAGCTTGACATTCTGCCGGTAGGAATACCATTCCCTCATATATAGGTAACCGAATACATAAACAAGTATAAGATTCACTTTACATTATTAATCTGTCATTTTTACAGATGTTGAAACCATTTATCAAGAAGAACTGAAGTAATCATATATTTTAACGTAGTAAATATGCGATAACCTCAATAGTAATTTGAATGGTCAATTACCATAAAGTAATGTCTCCTCTGAGCGTTTACACCCTGAATAACTCACCGAATACTTTTCAACCCTGAAACCACAATTATTCGCTTTGACTAAATTACCGCTTCCTCTTATTTTCTTTGCAGAAATTTTTAGTTTGCTTTATCCCACTGAGGTGGATATGTGGGAACCAGCTAGGGCCTGCCTTACTGGTGATATCGGAGATGAAAAATCATTCCATGAGGCGAGGAGTAAATTGACTGAGCATATCGTGAACACGTTGCAAGATAATGATGATGCGGCCCCCGGTAGGACGACACCGACCCAACAACAAACGCCTGAGGAACGAACGCCTACTGCTGTAGTTAATCCCAAACCGTTTTTGGATTCGGACAACGCTGTCGGTTCGGGACCGGATGTTGTCAAAAAAGGAGATATTCCTGTGTAATTATTTTGACACTACTTTCAAAACCCAAATTCACACTTGCCGAACGCTCAGGTTCACTGAACATTCTTGCCTCCTGTGCGTTATTCTTCAAAATGCTGAAGTATTCCATTATAGCATGCGCGCATGCTTACTGCTCTTTCATGACCTCGTCATCCCGTACACGTGCCCATTCCATGCATCTGTGCATTCATAAAAGGAGACAGTAGTGCGTATGCACATATAAATCCACGACAAGCACACACACAATCCACATTGTAATATCTCATCATACACAATGTCTTTCTTGTGATTACCAATCCCAAAAGTGCCTGTGTAAACTGCGTATTTGCTTCACTCAGTCGATTCATACTCCGAGTTTCTTACATATACACATACAAACGTATCTATGGACTGATGATAAACAAAAAACGATTTAGTGCATGTGAACAAAGCTATAGGATTCTTTATACCTATCTCTGTGCCTTCCATATGAGGTTACTCTCGCTCCGTTGAACAAATTATGGAACGAGTTTGAGTTGGACTATTTTTCCACCTTTGAGTCATCCACCAAGACTATTTGGAACATTAGAATGCAAACGTTTCAATCATCGTAGACTTGTTTTTTGCTTAATATATGTATATATACTCAACTTGGAGGTTGATGTTAAGACAAGCTGGGTTCACCTTTTGCAATAAGGATGCAAGTACAGGTTGGCCTTTGTCCTAGGCAAATGAAGTAAAGCTATCTCATCGTACTCTTACTGATGTTCAAAAGAATAGATCACGGCTTATTGAGTTTTAATTCACTTTTCCTCGTTTCACTATCTACCGAATTGTGCTGTATCAGTAGTACGCATCATATGTTATCATTAAAGAAACATTTACACTTTAAGATATTTGAACTTGCATTACTGACATCAATATGTTTCTGTTACATTCTTCACACCTATTTGTGACAAGCAAGCTCACTAGATTTAGAGTAGTGCTTCAATTACATTCGATTTATTTTATATGAAATTCAGTGACGTTTCAACACCTCGAAAGCAAACATTCAATTAAATCGGTTTGATTAAATGGATAAGTTAAGCTAAACCATACTGTTTTTTCAGGGAAAAGAAACATTTTCGGTGTCGTTGCTTCTAACATTCATATTTAAATACAACTAGAAAATACCACAACTGTATAACCGTATGGAGAAACCCGAGATTTTATATACCCGAGAAAGCGTACCAACTATAAAAACTCAGAAAAGTCCGTCTCCCACGAACAGCGTTTTGACAAATGGTGTGCATACGTTTTCCATCCACAACCACTTTCTTCTGTAATGCACTTGTCTGTACCACATTACACTTTCGATCACTTAGAATTACCCATTATTGCCGTGAATGCACGTCAAATTAGTTACATGCTAGTATCATTGTGTGAGCTTTTTTCAGTCCCAAGTTTACTTAGATAGATGTTTTAGCTGCTTATTCTGTCCACCCAGAGATGATTTGTAAAATTGCTTATGTGCCTGCTCAATTTTTATTACCTTATATTTTTCTTTAGGAAGATATGCATACAATTGCTTGAGGTTTGTCAAGTAACAAACGAACCTTTGGATTATTAGTTTAGCACATGAATTGATTTGCTGATATACGAGACAGTCAGTATTTCGTGTTCGTTTTTTGTGTAGTTCTCATAAACGGGGCATGTATTATGTGTCACCGGATAGGATTCCTCGAGGTTCAANTTCAATGTATGTTGCTGTGAGTGCGTACAAAGTGTTCAAACATGGTCAGATAAAACATTGCTTGAGGGTTTGAAAACCCGGACTATTGGATTTTGTCATATACATTTGATGGTCCTTCCCGGTTTGTAAACACGAAATGAACGCTATCCTGATTTCAAGGATAGTATTGAACTTTCATATTACCAAAAGCGATGGTTTTTGTGCACGTGTTCTATTTGTATACAAGTCTAGTTTACCGGCATTCTGTATTTTTCCGTGCAATTTTCATACTTTTATTGTTGCTTTCTATTTTTTCTTCATTGTTTCTCCAAAAGGATGGTCAAAAAGAAACCGAAATCAGCGCAGAGAAGCGCAAGTTTACTGGTTGTACCAAATAAAGTGCAAAATTGTAATATGTGCTTGATGGTTTCTTGCGTGTAGTTTATTGATTTGCTTAAGAAGCATGAACTTCGAGCTGTAATTTGGACAGATTTCGGATTGTAACTCACGTTGCTTGCCTGCTACCAATCATTCGAATACCAGTTTTATTACTTTTTGTGAACTATGCACTTTGTTGTGTTTGGTTCCAAGGGTTAACAAAAATATACGGTTATTACCAAGGTATTTCCTTGCTATAACTGCAGCGGAAATGGTTGTGAAATTTAACCACTTTGTTGGGGTGTTATCGATGCTAGGGCAAACCAATCGATGTTGGTCTGTAATCAGTGCAAAGCGAACTAGTCGATGAGTGCTACTTTGCTGTTTTACACTCGCTTTTGCCGCCCAAAAGACTAATTATTCGAATATCGGTTAGCCAAATCATGTGTACCATAGGACCAGTTTGTCATCAACTTAGTGAAGTTTTCATCGTGACCACCAAACAAAATATTAAAGAAGAATTATGTTTTTGGACTTGCACAAGATAATGAAAATGACTTAAAACTGGAATGTTAACCGTGTCGAACCTGTGCATGGGTATGTGAAAAACGACTCGACGCTCAGTAAGAGTTGGTTCGTTTTACTATCATTAAGATGAAAGCATTTGAAAACATTATTTAATCAGCGGATGTTCTAGTCACTAGACGTAGTAACGTCAGTAACTTGAGTCTACCCCATTACAGTTATTTAGTCAGTGTTGATTACAGTTATAAAATTCCTTTTCCGTGGAATTAGAAGGATTGTCTCTTGTGTCGAGCCCAACAATAAGTCATGCGTAGAGCCTTCAAACCAACGCTTTGAAAGCCGTAACTGACCCGGGATAAGGTACAAATATTTGTGGTTAATTATTGAAGGTAAAACTATACACATTGATTCGTAAGGTATCTAGTGCAGGACGTAATCAAAGTACTTCCAGATCGAAATACGTCAAGTAAGAATAGGGCAGCGCTCGGCCTTTAAAATACACTCCGCAATCATGGTGCTTCAAAAGGGACAGTTCACAGATGTGTCAGAGAGAAAATAAACAGAGTCAGTTTAGATTGGTCTAGTCGGGCAGTAACACGAAGCTCTCAAACTGTAAGTCATTTAAGCGAAAGAGTTGGGTGCACAACACTGGAACGATCCTCAAACAACTACAGGCATGCATGCGCATGCGTGTGCAGATGAACACCTAAACCATCGAGAAACAATCAGAACTTAACACAGGTATACTCGGATGGGTACGGACCAATGAAAGAATGCAGGTGGGTCGGGCAATAGAAAGAAGAGGAGGTCATAAGAAAACTCGTCCATCTGCAGTCATACGAAGTGATTGACGCGTGTTTGCCTGTGTCCATGAATCAATCTGAGAATGAGCAAACTGTGTACTGGTGTGATCATGCAAGCACCTAACGATCAGATGAAAGCGGATGCCATCGGGGCCAAAGCGAATGTTATTCAAGTTGAGCAAAGGGGAGAAGGAATAATAATTGATTTTAATGAACAGAATGAACCCGTTGTTGAAATATTCTAACTATTGATTGAAAAGATCATTCAAAAGAAGAATTCCTTCTCAATCTTCTACATTGCTATAGAATCAAAGAATAATTATTCCGTGCGGATCATGAGTTGCTCTCTTGCATGGTTCAATTCTCTGGTCATCCTGGTATTGGGAGCCGCTTTCAGTGGTATTTACTAACTGGGTCGATGATGGACTAGACCATTATAAACAGTACTGTTTTACTTTACACAAAGGCGTATGCTTGTTGTGGAAGAAAACTTCCGGTAAATTCTTAAACGAAAGTCATTCTCTCAACCACTATATTCCTTGCCGGACGACTGGTCCGTGTGCAGTAGCTAGAATTACCCAGCAAATGACAACCTTGACATAAGGGGACTTTCAACCAAAGTCAACCCCCAAAAAGAATACAGCTGTATGGATTTCCCCGAGTTGCTAACCAAAGATCCCATGTGACTCCAATCTTGGGTATTGAAGTATGGCATGGAAATAAATTCACAATATGCCATGGAGTAATCAATGTTAAGCAACGCGTACCGAATATCTGAGGGTGTCCATTTCGCCTGTTCGCCAAGCTCGGCGAAACAGGCGAAATAGAATTCAGTTCACCCGAGCTACGAGGATGTTTTTGAAAGTAGTCTCACTGCATCTTCCAATAACACTTCAAATAAATTACCCGGATACAAAGATTGTGACGTGGCATAATCTTATCACCCGGATACATTGAATCAAGAGGAAAAATCGTGAGATAAATGCATGTTTGGGATATCTTCTTTTCTTCTTTTTTTCATGTTGACTTCGTTTTATTAAATACAAAAGATACAATTTTCCGGAGGGAGAAGCGCTGAATCAATGGCTATCATGCATCACATAATAGGGAAAGTCAAACGGTGGTGATGGGATTCGAAAACACGTCCTCAATGATTATCACTTGATGGTAATACCACCGGGCCACCAATTGTCTCATGCAATCAGCTTTGACAATAATTTACTTCATGTCCAAGTTTTTTCTCTCTCCATTGTGTCTCAGGGAGTTCACTCATTTCTCTCAGTTCGGTTCAACTTTCACTGCACAGGATATAGCCTGACACGCCCCTGTTTCAGTTTCCACCACAGTGGGTGCTTTTAACCCGAATTAAATTTGCGTTCACCTACTCACAATGCCGCCCTTCTCAACCGCTGAAACTGAAGGAGTAGAAAAACGTATCTGCGATGCCTGCAAATAATTGAGGTACCTCATATTCAGTAGCTCTCGTTTACTAGATGTAATTATTCCACTAGAAGTTCAAGTGAACAAAGACACCCCTTATCCACATTTGGCACAAGCCTTGATGTTTAAGTAAGAAACAGGAACTTGTATGCTCTTTACCAAGT